TGCTGGGAGGGAAAACTGGATCAGTTGCTGCCCTTACTACAACTTTCACCACAGTAGTAACATTGACAGGGGGAGAGAACAAAGGGCCAATGAGGGGAAGTTGTTTAAGTGGTTTTGCATGTTGGAGAACTTGCAATGGGATTGCCATTAATAAATTACAATGAACCTCCAAATTACAGATTAAATATGATATGAGTGAATCCTCCTCGTCGCATTTCAAGCATTTCTCCCATCTAAATGGTTACATGGCAACAGAACACTTCTCAAAACTTGATTTCTGGTGAGCAGAATCATAACATGCTCCTAAAAGACAAGTTGCAATCTCCATTTATCCCTTTAAAGAGTTAAACTACACTGCTCAAGCGCTGAAGGACTAACACTATAAATGAATTGCAAGGTGCATAGAGGAGGACCACATATATTGAGAAATTCAAAAGTCATCACAAGAGGGATTGCAGAGGCAATGGCTTTGATTGGCTAACCTAAATCTGCCAAAAGCTTCAGGCTTGGATGTACCATATTCAAGTGTTGTTTGGGATAACCTAGTAATCTAGATAAATGTACAAAGATGCACAAGAATTTACCATCTCTAACAGAGAACCGATTACACCAGGAGGTAGCTTCACACTTCCAACATTGCAAGTTCCATAAATAAACTCAGGCCGAAGAACCACTTCTAAATATGGAAACAAAACATATTTCATCAAACTTACAGTTACTATAATCCATGCTATAAGATAACAATATGTTGTCAGCTACAAAAAAACACATTTATCCACAACACTAACCAATACATACATTAGCATTCTAAACTACAAGATTTTGATGATTAAATGCAGTGAAAAAAGTACTAAGATATGAAGGATGAAACCAATATATCATAATAGCATTTTACATAAAGGAGATTTTACAGTTTTCCAAATTCAAAAGTTTTAGGATAGCTTTTTTAGATTTCAGTTGCTAAAAAGAGTAAAACGAATAACAAATGTATAAAAGGTACAAATTGCAATAATGGAAAGAAAAAAATTACCTTCATATGCTAACTTGGTTAACAACTATCACGATCCGAATCCCGAATCCATGATTAACACATAGTCAAGGTTCCCCTTTAAGGTTCTATACCTATACGAACTTAAACTTACATACAAACTTATCCTTTAAACAATTCAATCAGAGTTCAACGCAGCATTAATAACAAAATTAGTTTCATAATATATTTCAATTTTCTTAATACAAGAGTTAATACAAATTCATAGTTGTGGAGTACTAACTAGACATAAAAAAAAAAGTACTAATTTCAACAAAAGTACAGGTTCTGAGAGTTTAACAAAAGTGACCCGCTAACAAGTTATAAGCCTAAAAAGATAAATAATGAGAGAGTGAGTTCAACACCTTAGTAAGTAGATAACATTCAATATACACACACGAGGTTATACAATGAGAATATATATATATATATATATATATATATATATATATGGCTCTAAATTCTTATAGGATGGATTTAGGTTCTTATAAAAAAGGTTTCTCAAATAGGCCATAACAAAAATATCATATGGTAAAATCATCATAAAATCAAAATACAATAAGCATGAAGCTCCGTACTGTGGGATGATCAGTCCACACAAGTTGGTGACTCCCCTAACCAATTAAGATTCAGATACAATGTGTATAAAGACTAACACTACCTTGTTAGCAGCATACTATAGGTTCATAATCATAATCAAACAGACATATTCATATCTCAAGACTCAACTCATGACATCAATCAAATGAGGAGCTATCAATTCAAAAGTCAATTTAAAATACATATTGATTCATATCAAGAATTCATATTCAACAATTGATTATGCTTTATCGTAATAAGAATAATAATTAACATATATATTATCAAAAAGCATGATCCAATTCATATTAACAAATCAAATGTTTATAATATTTCTCATGTATATGAAAAATTATCCGCTCACCTAACTTAAAACTAAACAGAACTCGAAAGCAGATACTGAAGGAAATCCTACTAGTGTCCCACCGATTGAATATCAAGGTTATTTGAATAAAAAGAAAATATATTCAAAAATATCTCAAAAGAACATACAATATATTTGATACACTTAACTAAGGTTTTATTACATAACCCTATATGTTTTTAAATTAAATTAGTAATTTTTCCTAAAAATCAAAAATTATATGGTTTTCTTGAAATCTAATCCATAATAAAACAAATAATAAAAATGATAATAATTCATTAAATAACCCTCATTTACTCATCAAACCAATATGAAAAAGCTAATATTACATCTAGGGACCAATCTGGAATTTATCATTTTTTAAAGGTCAAATTGTAACTTTTGTCAAATTGAAGGACCAAACTAAAAATTTCATAAATGCATGACTATAGTGCAATTTTTCCCATAATTCATCCTCATTTCTGTCCAAAATCTCTAATTATGCTCTAGGGACCATTCTAAAAATTTTCCAAATTTTAAGGGTCAAATTGTAATTTTTGTCAAATAAGAGGACCAAATTGAAAGTGTTATAAATTCATAATTCTACTGAAATTCTGCCCATAATTCATCTATAATTCTGTCCAGAATCTTGGATTATGTTTTAGGGACCAATCTATAATTTTTCCAAAGTTTGGGGACTAAACTATAATTTTCATAAATTGAGGGACTAAATTGTAATTTCATCATCTTCAACCTCAAACCCATAATTTCCACAGAAAACATCCTGTTATCTCCTGATTTCTAACTCAAAATTCATCATTTATAAAAATCATAACTTAAAATCATTATCTTTACCTAAAATCTTCCAAAATTAACTAAAAAATTCATTACTCATAACAATCAACCAATAACATTCAAATCAATTCATCAATAAACCAAAACACAATCTTCAAAACCCTAATATTTATCAAAACAGAAATTTAAAGCTTAAAGAACATATATTTATATGTAATCTTACATTTAAACTTATTTTCTCCAACTCTCTTCTCCTTCCCTTATCTTTCCTTGTTTTCTCTTCTTCTCCCTTTTCTTCTCTTCTCCCATTAGTTTTTCACTCTTAGAACATAGCTTTCTTCTTCTTCTTTTTTTCTATTTATATTTATCAACTCTTTATTCAATTATTACAATACCTCTTATTCATTTGTACTCTTTTTAAGCCTTCAAGAGCTTTTGCCTTTTCCTACTCATTTTATTTCAAAACATCACAACAATTCTGTTTCAACAGCCTTCTACTTCAAACAAACCACAAGTAAATAATTTACATGAGGTAAGAATGATGAGAAAAGGAAAAGGTAAATATCAAGGCACACTTGAAAGTGTTAATTCTTCTTGTGATATAACTATTTCATATCAAACAATGTATTATAAAAATCAAACTGTATCTACATATAATACAAACTAATTTTTATAAAGCTTTAGAAAATAGTCCTTGTTTCCAAAAAAATAAAGATGAAGATGTGTCATGCCAGCCATCAACATTAACATGACATGATTCTAAATACAACACTTGAAATAAGCAGTAATTATAGCAAGTAATTAACAAAGCCAAAGTCAGCTATAACAAATCCAATCCATTAAAACAAGTTCAAACAAAAAAAGGGAAAAAAATGTAAAACTGGAACCACCTACTCTCTTACAGGAAACTTATTTTGCAATGGTTCTTTTTCCCTTTGCTACTATATAATCACCATTCCCAATTCAAACTTTTGAAATTCTTATAGGTTGCAATGTACTGAAAAGACACTCTTGTCTAAAGTCATGTGATTTATGCAAGTATTGTCAATGAGCTAAAGATACGAGGAGTCTCTAGTTGAAAAACAAGTAGCCACGAAACATTTTATCTTAATCATCTTGGTCAAACTTGAGCATTTACCTCGTAAGCCTTTGTTGTTCTTGAGCTTATAGGACATTCAAAAGTTCTCTCACTATAATTTTACATAAATCGTTTATGCTCTTCAAAGTTGTGATTGATTCTTTATATTTTTCAGGCACTGTAACTAGTATTTTCTCAATAACTCTAAAGCATGTGGATATAGTACCAAGTAATTTAATCTTGTTAACTATAACAAGTAATTTATTCGAGTGCTCTTTAATAATCTCAAATTCTTTCATTCTTTGTAACTCAAATTCTTTTATTAAATTCAGTATTTACATATCATGTATCCTTTCATCTCCTAGATATTCTTCTTTTACATAGTACTAGACATCTTTTGTTGAATTGAGAGACATGATTCTTGAGAAAATGGTTATTGAAATAATAACAAACAAGTATATGTTTAATTTTTATTTTTTTATTTTTCTTTTTAGATTTATGTTGAACAGCAAGCTAAATTTGTGGTTTAGGAACAAGAAAAATAGAGTTTATTTGTTGAATAAAGCCCTTTATAGTAGGCTTTTGACCTACATTATGGTTGGATTATTTGATAATGAAGGAACATCGCAATCTTAATCAACAACTTCCCACCAAATAAGTTTCTATTTTCACAGCTAAAAGTTGATAATTCTCCTCGTCAAAGACAAGAGGGGTTACATGAGAGAAGTTTGAAGAAGCTTTCATTGCAGGTTCCATAATACAAATTGCTCTTATATCTATATCAATTAATGACTTTAAAAAGAAGAAAAGAAAAGAAAACAGGAGAGAATTTTATGATAATAGTCTGCTATTGTTGTACAGACTTGAGTTTCTATTTTATTCATTAAAACTCATTACATTTATAGAGAGAACAATCAACGGAAATGCTCTAATAAAGCATCAAATCAGCAAATAATATCTTAACTAACTAATTTGTTCCTATAGACCAGCTCAACATTTATTTGATGATAATGGAATAGAAAAAACGGGACTCACGGATTCCTGAAGCAGTCTTCAACACTAGGCAAATCTCTGGGTTCTTGTTAAGTTAGGCCTTGTAAGAAAAGGCAAGAAGTCTATCACAAATATGAAGGTACAGAAGGTAATGCCAGATTCTCCTCAGTAATACCGTAACACAATTTCTGAAACCCAGTCTAATCCTACTTAAATCTTAGTAAAATCATCTCACTTACATGTTTTTTTAATACAGTAATTACATTTCTTTACAATGCTAATGACTACTGGTGTCAGAAGTGTTAAATGATAACCTACAAGTCAATTATTGTCATGGTCTATTTCCAAAGCTGCCGGTCTCTCCTGATTTCGGTTGGTAAGCTGATCGGTATCTATGACTACCTCTTGAGGTGCTTCCCTATTTGGACTAGAATAATAGCTCGCAGAAGATCGATCGGCAGGATATTCAGTGTCAACTGAACAGACTGATGGGCTTGGCGCACACATAGTAGGCAGACTGATGCCCTTTCTATCATTCAGATCACTTTGTCTGAAAGTACTGGATGTCGAGTCCCTTTGAATGAAAGTTCTAAAGAAGTTTTCAATTCTACTCCATATTGAAGCTGTGGAATCAGAGGACCTCAAGACGTTTCTTTCTCGGTAAACAAACGATACTATGAAGATAATGAGAGCTAACAATGCAGCTAGTCCTGCAATCAAAAATAACCCCCAGAAACTCTCCAGACTGAGGCTATTAGATGAAATTGAGGAGCCGGATTCTGGACAAGTGCTGTTTTTTCCAAACCAAGCACCCTCTATTTGCTTCATCTTATCTCCCTCGGTCACATTTAAAATTGCCCTCGATATATCAGGCACTAGAGGAGAACCTTTAGGGAAGACCTGAAGTTACAAAAAGAAAGGATACATGAGAAACTATATAAGCACTTATTAGCCACAGAGTAAATGGAAGTAACAAGATAGGAAAGTGAGCTTACAAAGCCAAAACCGCCGGGTTTAAATTTAGGATCAATCATGG